CCGTGTAGTTCAAACACACAGGACAATGTGTGAAAGTTTAGTTAACACCCATGGAGTAATTTCAAATGACCAACGGTCAAACTCACTTCCCCGTCTCGGTCTTGTTGTTGGCTTCCAAAGCTTTTAGTATTTTTTTCCTCCAAGTGAGTATAGCACTACAAAGGACAAATTATAAGAAAATCTGTTCATACGTACCGAATTTCAGCCTTGCCAAGAACTTGTATGTCATCCAAGGAATCTTTGATGTAAGCCGGAGTAAGTGGATGTTCCAACAGCTCAGGCCTGTCGCAGGATATCTACAGAATGTTGAGGTGAAAATGGATGCGGGAAACTCGGAAATTACAGATGCGTACTGTGCTGTACAACGTGAAACTTGTAAAATGATGCTCGCAGAGCAAGTAAAATCATTTTGGGCTGAATTAATGCCCACTGTAACGGTAGCCGTGGGTAAAGACATCTAATCGTAGGCTAGAACAAACTTTCGTCACTTTTATAAAATCAGATAACATATACAATCGGCGTCATAACGCATCGAAACTACTTAGAATCCAAGTCTACTCTACAGGAATACAAAAGTTAACCAAAAGGTGCGGTCGTCTATGTGTATTCTGCTATTAATGAAGAAATAACCCCTAAGGTATATCGATGGAGATAGCAAAAAATCGTTGCAGACGTCTCTTAAAACGGCTTTTCGTACCTTATATGAGTAGGCGAGACATTTCAAAGGATCATCAGAATTCATAAACGCTGATAAAGGTGTTTCTTTGTACAGTTTTTCGTCATCATATCCTTCAGCCTTCCTATAGACAAAAAGCATAAGTGACACAAGGAAGTCTCGAAAAAAGGGTCGAGAAAATCTAGAACCAAGATAAAGATGTTTGGAGTATACCGTAAAAGCACAACGCTTGGACGCGTGTATTAAGGAACTGCTGAAAAAGTCAAACAACTTGGCGTAAGTAACCCCTTTTTCAGGCTAAAACAGTCCAGGCGCCGGGGATTTCGCCTTTCTGGGCAATTATTTCTGCCTTCGAAGAGGAATATGCCGACGCGAAAAACAAGCAATGTCTTGATGCCCATAAACAAAACATTTCTACATAATTTGTAGGGTAAATACGGCTACTTGCTCCAAATAGCAACAATTCAATCGGTCAGGCATAATAGGTAAAATGCTCACAACATTCCACGGGCAGAACACCGAGGTAAAATGTCGGAAAAGTGTCGAGACTGATCAGAAACCCAACACCACACGACTACCAAATTACGGGAATAAGTGGATAAAAAATCAACTTGCTTTCTTTTATTCGAACGACGTAGAAGGGAGGAAACCACAGTATCGCGGGATTTCGCAACCTCGACTTCACCGAAGACGTGTTTAGGGTCCAAGAACTTCGGGTCGATATGCGAAGGAAAAAGATAGCCTTGGCAAACCAAAAAAATTTCGGCGGATTCAAGGCGCGACGCCTCCGGCTTTAATACCCGCACTTTGCGGAAGAACTGTGAGATGGCCCATTTCAACGGCTCGTAATCGCGGCTTCTAAATACTTTTGTTATAAACCATCCGCCGTTTCGTAAGAATTCCGTTGCAAGCGCGAAGGACTTTAAACACAAAGATGCTGCCAAAAATAGAAGTCAATAACACACGCACCTTGGCTATATTCATCGATGGTCCATGCAGTGCCCACGTTCGGTGCACCATCATGCAAAACGACATCCGCTTTGTTATGAAGTAGCGCGGCCCTTAACAACTACCGAAACATAACAAATAGCATTTATAAGTACCTGACGACACTTTTCAGTCGTAATGTCTGCTACAATAGATTTGCAGTTAGGAATAGGCATAATCGGCATGAGATCCACGCCAATAATGACGCTATTCACTGGCATTTCCTTCGCTGCAACTTGCATCCAGCCGCCAGGTGCAGCACAGAGATCAATAAGAACCTTAGATGAACCAAGGAAATTGAAACGACGGTTCAGTTGAATCAATTTGAAGGCAGCTCGTGAACGGTAACCTGAAAAGTATACAGTAAGTAAACCTCAAACCTGTCTCTTTCGCGAGAAAGTAAAATTTATCTTTACGAGCCTTTCCTTGTTTGGATTTTTTCCCCATATTGAGTGATTTTGCCCTGTCTGCAAGTAAAATACTATACGACTCGGAAAACGTGGAAAACCCAGAGGAAGGCCAAATTGCCTTAGCGGCAAACAATTCGGTTTCGACAAACAAAATTCCTAAGTTCGCATCATGTTATTACTGACAAAGACAAGACAGACTGGAAAAGCCATTTCCGGCTTATTGGGCGATGTTAGCCAGTCATACCCAACCCCGAAGTGTAGGACACTCGAGGCTCGAATCCGCGACCTTTTCGGTGCAATTCGGAGCCAGCACCCGCCTTCAACCGCGGAAAAAGTCGGGAGATCTAGGAACAGAAACGCAATTGTTTGATTAAAGTAGATGCAACTTACCTCACTACGACTGTCTTGAGATCATTGCGAATGTAAATTTAGCCTAGAAGAATGAGTTCAGAGTCAGTTACGGAAGCCCTTGCCCATGTCTCCGTTAATAAAACAATATCTGGGTGATCAACGAACACCGGAGTCTGAAGCATAGACATCTTATTTAACAAGGATCTGGCATAAAGAACAAAATATTTTGGGAGTAGGACCTTTTTTCTGGGGGAGATGAGCTACGTCGACCAGTGTTTGGCTGTCCACGTAATATACGGCCCTGATGCACCTGTCCGGTTCTGCAAAAATTGTGTACATAAAAAGACGCTGACGTGGATAAAGAGGATTTGGATTTGGGAAAGGAAGTGACGGACAGGGAAGCTGATTACTATCGCTTGTTGGCTGATGTTTTACTGGAACTCCATAGGTAGGATACTATAACCCATTCCCGCCGAAATAAAACCGAGGATCGAGTGAGTTAACCGATCTCGTATGAACATTTGCATGAGAATAACATCAATAAAATAACCGTGGAGGGCACGTATTGGGGGTGAAGGACGCACTGCTAAGATTGGGGCGAAACTCTTTTTAAAGACGGGAATGTCAGCATATTCGGCCTAAACGCCTACAGATGAGGTCTGAAGGCGGACGGGAGGAAACATGCTATATCTGCGGCCATGGAGTTTGAGAGAGTGGCAGGCGATTATGAAGGGAAAGAGTTCTTAGAAGATCTGAATTTACCCACTGTACGAGTGGATCAAATTACACTTGGACTCGTTCTTGAGTTAGGCACTTGCTTTGAGTTAGGAGAGGTTGCTGGGTGAGTCGTGAGGGGTATTTGTATACATGGCCTGTTGTGGCGTCCAGAGGTCTCAGCACCAAAATTAGCTAAGTTCCCTACGGAACTCATTATGTCATGAATGGGTGTGGCCGCAGATGATGTTGAATAAGCCTTATTCGTCATAACAACAGGGGCCGTTATATCTGTTGATTTTAGACACCTCCAAAAGGATTAGTCTTCTCTGCATAGGTGTGAGATCCAGGAAATTGAGCAACGCCATTTACGACATAATTTCCCAACTTTCTTCTTCCTCGACAAGATATAGTCAACATTTAGTAAGGAGAACATAGTACCTAGTATAGGTGCATTACGACTGAGCGAACACAATACTTTAGCTTGCGCGACACTGAAACCCAAGCCACAACTTTGTAAAAATGAACGCGCACTCTCAATAACCTACTTTTTATTCGGAATGTTACGCAGTATCATGTTATGCTTTTTCCTCTTCTCAGTTTCGGAGTTTATTACCCCCAATAAGTTTAAACGCTTGTTTAAAAACTTTGTGGGATACACTGTTTATATTGCCATTTATCAGGTGATCTAGTATTTCGTCGGATGATGCTCTGCTACGACTGGCAGAGGCGTAGTTTTGGACGAATAAAGAGTCAAGAGGTTCTATATGGACTAACAGGATTTTTTAGTTAGCAATATCTAGAGAAGACTGAGAATACACACTGGTACCTGTTCTGTCTCCCGACCCCGATTTTAGCACTCAAAGATGGCGAGGAGGTCGCGATTTTTCGGTCTTTGAGCAAGTCTTCTTCGGGGCATTACAAGGTACTAGGCAGGTTATTGGTTGCGATACAAAGATCAAAAAATTGCTTACATTCCGCAAAACGCACAGGACAGCAAGCACTAATGCTAATTTACTTAGTCACCAGAAAGAGATGGTCTTACACGACATCAGTAAACGGGGATTCGCAAAATGCAGCTATTTTAGCAAACCATTTAATAGGACAGGAAAAAATTATACCCGACTTTTAAAAGAAGTCAGTCAAAATACGCATCAGTTGCCTGGGAACATCGAAGAAGATGCAAGGCTTCACTCGACTTCGAAATTGACATACGTGCCTTGACCTCGACTTTAAAGTGTCAATAAGAACAATCCACAGATGTTGAGAATTCGAAACCGCACTGATGGCACATGTCCTCACCATAATGGGTGGGTCGAATTGGGTTGCTCAGTGCCATGGTCCAGTCCAAGATCTCGTTTGCCTTTTATTTTTGAAACAAATGCTTAAAAACACTGCAGACTTTTGTAGCAAAGACGGGGAGACAGGTGTATTGCATAAATCGTCGTCTAGGAAAATTCGTGAAATAAATTGTCTCTTGTTATTCGTTATTAGAGCACTTGTGTCAACGTGGGTAACTGTTGAAACCCCGGTCTCTTCCTGACCGTTCAGGATCTGGTCCACTCCATCCCAGTGATCCAAACGCTGATAATCAGGAGTAATTTACCTGCGCGATTGGTTCCGCATGGCGATATATGCAAGGTACCTACCCATACTGTCTGGGTCGCAAAAAATGTAATATAGTTAAGCAGCTGTATGAGAATAGAGGGAAAACCACTACCTAGATTGTACCATGACAACTTGCATCTCAGATTGGCCCAGTTTCGAGGAGAGAGGGATATGCTAGCAAGACAGTTTGAGTCATTTTAAATCTCTTTATCAAGGGAATGGTGCTTTTGCCCTTGAACTCACTACCAATTTCGGAAAACAGCAATATAATCAGTTTTTACAGCGGTGGCTCTGGAAATTGTAAAGTGATCGGTATGTGTGAGCCAAGCGCAAACTGACGTCGCAAGTAGAATAGTGATTATATATGCAGCATTTTCTCAGCAAATGGATATCTATTTTTCATTTAAGTGGTTCCGTAGTTTTTGAAAGGATCACTACGTCAGGAGTCCATTCCATGCGCCAACGACTCTCTGCGAGAGAACGTGTTATCGGATGTCCGTGCGGACTACTGTCCTCTACAGTTTGAAGAGATGAACATACAGACGGCTCGTTCCAGTCAATTCGATGGAGTCATAGAGGTCAAATGTACAATCCAACAGGGCTGAATAAGATCACGGCACACATGCAACTGAAGAAAAATAAATAAAATCCAGTCTGTCTGACTTCGTAAGGCTGATGATAACGGTTCCTCGACATCTTCGTACCAATCATATATACTCGTTCCAACTGTTTATTATCCTTCTTAAACCACAGACGCAGGCCTGGACGGCATACTCCAAGTGAGACCGAACAAAAGCCTCATAGAATTTCGCGAACAGTCCCCCATAAATCTTCTCAAATCCTTGTCTCAGAGCAAATAACACCTGCGACGATGGTTTAAGCGAAGAGGTTATTCGGACGCCGAGGTCCTTCTGTTTCCCTGAATTTAAAAGGCTTTCCTATCAAAAATATATTTATATGGATCATCCTCCCTACTGATTTTTCTAGTGCGAAGTCTCGTGAGCACACAGTTGTTTACATTAAAATTGAGGAGCTAACGAGTAACCAAATGTTGACTCGGCTGAGACTCTTTTGAAGAGCGTACCCGTCTGCGTCATTCCACTGTTAAAAATCGTCAACTAGCATGATGACGATATCCCGTTTATCGTCTTCCTCTGATTTAGGGGGGTTTAACGGGACAAAGTCAACTCATGGTTTCGCGCTTACTAAAGATTCCGGGTCATTCTTGACCTCCAGCATCATGGTTTTACTTGTAGTCTGTCTAACGATAGTTCCAATTACCATCTTCATTCTTGAGCTCCCTGAGAATATCAGCCAATGCAAAAGAGTAAATTATTACATCAATACCTACGAAAAGTGCAAAGGTATCCGCATCGGTGGGCAAGGAGCAAACCGCCATCACTGATAAAATCTCTATTACAAGTACATTAGTTTCTCGCAAAGTGAGCATCAAGTTTGCATTTAAATGTTTCGACAGTACCTGGAAACATCCCGCAGCAGACAGTCTGTTCCAAGTTCTAACGACTCCCTGCAGAATGATGTTTCGTAGGAATTTTGTATGGGCCAAACTCCTCTGCGGTCTACTGGGATGATCATGCAGACGGTCACTTACGGCCAAGTCAAAGAAGTCCTCGAAGTGTAGGACAAATTCCTGGCCTCTAACAGTCCGGTAGATATAAATTAGGTTATTGTGTATTCGGGTATTTTTCAGGAGAAACAAACTAAGTTCAACTGGCCTGGCTTCGGACGACACGGCGCGAAGATTCTTTCCCATCTTCGTAACCCTTGTCGGCTTTCGTTTCAGCAACTAAAGATCCTTTTCGGAGCGGGCCTGCACATTATACTTCAAGTAGGGCCGGAAGAGTGCTCCGTAGGTTTAACCTACTTGTTCCTGACCAATTACTACAAATCCGTGTCATAGAGCGGGTAGCATTTGCATCGCTTCAACCATTACGCTGAGGGTTAAAGCACATGAAAATAAAGGGTGCATAGGTTTACCAGCTGATTATAATGCAGCTCGGTTAGTTTGTTTTTCATTTTCAGTTTTCGTACGACAAGGTCCTATGTGATGCGGAAATATAAGGCCAGAGTTTCAAAAAGCTAGATCTAGTTCAGATTCTAAACCGAGTCGAGACGATGCACTCTTTGACAAAGGAAATGATTAGGATCCCAATAAAAAGTTAGAATGGACACGTAATAAATTCAGTTCGGAAATCTTCATGCGAATTTTGGCATCTGCGTTCAAGTTCTGGGCTTATTCATCCGTGTCTTTTGAATTCGGTTTGAAATTTTCGACCTCAGACGAATTCACCTTTTCGCGTCTCCTGAGTACTGGACATCCTGACAGCCTGTCGGAATTAATAAGTCGATTCTTTATAATAATACCTCGGTTCTTACAGAATTACAACAGGAGTTTCTTCTGAAAAATCTATCTCCTCCCAAACGCGCCTCTGACAACCGCACCGCGATATATCCCAAATACAAGAACGGCTGCGTCGTTTGCTATTTACTTCATACCGTTGGTCTGGCTTAAAATCGTATCCATACCGTCAAAGACGTTTCAAGTGCATTGACGCAATAATGGTAGTCGATTAAGGGTCCTCTAGACATTGGACAAAAATTCCGTTTCAGGCCAGGACGGAGCCTGTGCAAAAGAGTGACGCTGAAAGTGTCGCTACCACTGCGCCACTGACGCGCAGCAGGCAGCTTGACAAAATGGTAGGAAAACTGAAAGACGCGACAGCATAAGAGAGGTGAGTCCACAAACAATGCAAGCAAACACCAAACTGCCAAAAGAGGTTCCACATGACCAAGAAGCCTCGATAAACGAGGAACCCCGCGGCAGCTATGCCATGACAACTGCCTCTGAATTGAACATTGATGATAACAAATATTTTCGCGATGCAGTTTGTGCGTATAAAAATAAAAGACAGCGCCCTTTTGATCGCAATAAATGCATCATCGTAAAGGGTATGCCTGAGTCTTCTTCAGACATTCCGAAGACCAGAATAAAACGAGAAATAGAATTTTTCCAGAGATACCCCAAATCCCTATTAAACGGGAACGGGAAAATCACCATCTTAAAATATTTCAGAATAGGACAAATTGAGGATTTCAAGGGTGAGTCAAGTCATGATAGACCATTAAAAAATATTCTCCAAAATGAGAAACAAGTTTTACCACTGCTGAGCATGAAAACAGCACTACGAGATGCTCACCCAACAATTTTTTCGGCGGGATTTCTCACCGGCCGAACGAGAGAAATGGAGGGAAGTGAAGGCCGAATTCCTCAGAAGTTCAAATTCCGGCCCCAAAAACCTATGAATGTTTAATGGGAAAATTGTTAATGTTCGGAGCTCATTTCTCTGGAGACAACTAATAACACTGAGCATAATGAACAACCAGATTATAAGGAAAAAATGCTCCTATCTGCCAGACCGGCCAAAGAAAACGACGGGCAAAACACTAACATCCAGTTTGGTCAAAAACAGTAGACTCGAAAGAGGACGATGGACCCAGAATCTCGCAGAAAATATCTGGCAAATTCTACCCAAAGATCGTTTGGGTATCTGTCCGGGCTAAGCTCCGCATTCCTTATGCAAATGAACAGATTTTGTTCCGGAAGCTAAATGAGTCGAAAGTGTGAATATTAGATACGCAGCCGGATGTAATCTCTAGCACAGAGACTTGGTTCCAGACCGAAGTCTTGGATGCCCATATTACACTCGATAGATACCAACTTTTTGCCGGGACAGACTGTATGAAAGGAGGAAGACCAGCGATCTATGTCAATAGAGGAATCATCGCCTCAGAACACAAAACCGATTGCACCCGCGACTGTAAAGCATTTTGGTTAAAACTGAGGATGCTTGGCGCACCCAATCTGAATTTCCTAATCGTATACAGGCCGCCCAATCAATCTGCTGCGGTTGACGGGGCGATATTTGGGCTAATTAAAGAAGTGTCACAAAACCAAGAGTTACTGATAACCGGCGACTTCAATGCACCCATGGCCAACGGGAACTATTTATTAGTAAATGGTTCGCGAAATTCCTTTGATTCCATGCTCTTGAAACTAACGGCTAATCTCTTCCTCGTAGAAACTATCCCGTTCCCAACCAGGATCAGAGCGGATTAAGGAGCAAATTTTCTGGACCTCTTCCTTACAAAAGACCCAATTAGCCCTGGCAAACTTAAGCCCATAGGACCACTCGATAAGAGTGACCATGTCATGCTGTTTTGGGAATACCGCCTATGCAGCCAACAAGCGAGTATGACTGAGCCAAGACTGAATTTCTGGCGAGGAGATTTTAACGCCATGAGAGGGGAATTATCGGCAGTGGACTGGAATGATGTTCTTCCCGCACATGCAGAAGGTGATTGGAACGCTCTCAGAGGAGTTGTAACCGACATCAAGCATCGTAACTGTCCGACAAAGATAGTCAAAAAGAATAATCGTCCTGCCTGGATAAAGCTGGGTATAAAGAAGGAAGTAAATCGGAAGAAAAAATCTATGGAGGAGGTCTGCCACAACAAAACAACCATCTTACTACGAGCAGTTTCGCCGAAAGCGAAACGAGGTAAGGTCGGCTATCCGCAGGTCGCGGAAGGAGTATGAAACTCGAGTTATGAAACGGGCCGTCGATAAGCCGAAAATGCTCTTCAGTTACACAAACGGTAGATTAAAGATTAAGGAGACAGTTTTAGTGATGAAAGGAGAAAACAATGAGGATATCACTGAAAATGACGCTAAGGCAGAACGTCTTAGCCGGTTTTTCGCATCTGTTTTCACTAAAGAAACGGACTTCGACGAGGCTGGGTTGCCTGCTGGGACAACCGACGAAATAATAAAAAACATCGACTTCACGGAAGAAGATGTGAGGGAGGAACTTCTAGCGTTTTTGGAGAGTAAGTCTCCGGGTACGGACCATATACCGACAAAAGTTCTGAGGGAGTTGGTTTGCGAACTCGCCAGACCGATTTTGCATATCTTCAGGTCTTCCAGTGACCAAGGCAGTCTCCGCTCTGATTGGAAAGTGGCGAACATATATCCCATTCACAAGGGTGGATCTAGAACATGCGTAAGCAATTATCGGCTGGTGAGCCTAACATGCATTTGTTGGAAAGTCATGGAGAGAATGGTCAAAAAGCCATAATGAATTTCTTTGGAGAAAATAATTTCATTGCTAGTTCCCAACATGGCTTTCGACGAAATCACTGCGACCTAACTAAGATGATCTATACAACGGAACAGTGGTCTCACTCGTTAGACGAAAAAACCAAGGGTCGAGATTGTTTGCATCGATTTCCAGAAAGCCTTTGATAGTGTTCCACACCACCGGTTACTTTACAACGTCCGAGAGTCAGGGATAAGGAGAAACTTATTAAACTCGGTAGAAAAACTTTCTGACTGGTCTATCACAGTCTGTGTGTATTGGCAGTGCGAAGTCAACGCCAGTGCTAGTTGTGAGTGGAGTTCCCCAGGGCTCTGTACTCGGACTAGTACTGTTTTTAATCTATGTCAACGACTGTATGAATGGACTGGACTGCAATGGAGTCATGTTTGCCGATGACATCAATTTATGGCGAACGATCAGCGGTAAAAATGATAAACGGCCCCTGCAAGAAAGACCAAATTGACTATGCAAATATACTGACAAATGGTTGCTGAAGTTTAACCTTGAGAAGTGCGTCGCGCTGTGGCTCGTTGTTTACGGGAAATGCCAACGATGCCTGGGAGCTGTTCAAGAATGTCCTTCTGCAGCTTATCAATAACCACTGCCCACTGACTAGTGTAAGGCTGAATAAACGCCCTGGGTGGCTAAATAGGAACCTTAAGAAAGAAATCAACAGGAAGCACAAATTGTGGAGAAAATACTGCGTCACTGGGCAAGTTGAGTAGTTCAACACCTACAAGACATAGAGGAACAAACTGAGGAACCTGATCATGAAAACGCGACGGGAATTCGAGAAGAACTTGCTACAAAAAGCAAAGCAGAACCCAAAATTACTCTACAGTTACCTCCGACGAAGTACAAGTAGCAGGCATCAAATCCCATTAATAAGGACTACTGATGGCGTTGAGATCGCTGATAGTAAGGATAAAGCTGCGTATTTTTCACGGTTTTTCCAATCAGTCTACACAGACGAGTCAAGGTTCATTCCTCCCTCCGCAGAAGGACTGCCGACCCCAAGAGTCAGCGATATACTCCTCTCAGAAGGCATTGTCCGAAGAGAATTGGAAGCATTGAACAAATCGATGTCACCAGGACCAGACGAGATTCCATCCAAGCTTCTCAAGAAACTTGCCAGTGAGTTTTCTGTGCCTTTGACGATGCTCTTTCAGACGTCATTTGACACTGGAACACTTCCTATCGATTGGAAGCTGGCGCATATTACTCCGCTACACAAAGGAGGTAACAGGGCAGCGACGACAAATTACAAACCCATAAGCTTGACATGCATTCTCTGCAAAGTTATGGAAAGGATCATAAAGAATGAACTGATGCATTTCTTCGAAGTTCACGGCCTACTATCCAACTGCCAACATGGGTTCCGGAAGGGAAGTTCCTGCACGACAAACTTACTGCAACCTCTCCAGAGCTGGACCCAAGCTCTCGACGACAGGCACGAGGTCCACATAGCCTTCATCGACTTCCAGAAGGCATTCGACACTGTGCCACACCAGAGGCTCCTACATAAACTTTAAAAAATAGGGATCAGTGGCAACTTCCTGAAATGGATTGAAAACTTCCTTTTGGGTCGACACCAGGTAGTCTTCATCGGTCGATGAAAATCAGACCCTGCCATGGTCGAGAGTGGTGTCCCCCAGGGTACAGTACTGGGACCCATTTTGTTCCTTATCTACGTGGACGGTGCCGCAAGAGTTTTAGACTGCGAAGTAGCAATGTTTGCTGGCGACAGGAAGATATGGAGTGTAATTCGGGGTCTTGCCGACGATGACAGACTGCAGATGAAGCTGAATCGGTTGGAAGAGTGGTCAAATCGTTGGCTCCTGCGATTCAACGTTCCTAAATGTAGCATAATTCGCCTAGGCCACACAGCCAGATCCGCCAGCACAAGAAACTACTTTCTGGGCGGTGCAGCCTTAAAAGAGATCGAAGCCCAAAAGACCCTCGGTGTGCTGACGACCAGTTCCCTAAAGCCATCCGCCCACTGTTCGAGGGGGGCAAAAACCCCAATGTCCGTACTGTACTCCATCAAGCGCGCGTTTATGGACTTTGACGAGGATGCTTTCTCAAAGACATTCGGAACATTCGTCCGGCCGCATTTAGAGTACGGCATACAAGCTTGGGGGCTGTGGGCTGTTGAGGATCAAAACTGCCTCGAAAGGGTCCAGAGGAGAGCAACGATGATGGTTAGAAGTCAAAGCTCCTTTCCTAATGCAACTCGCATAGTAAATCTGAACCTCTTTCCTTTGAGTTACAGGCAACTTCGCGGGGATCTCTTGCAAGCCTTCCGCATTGTTAAGGGGTTGGATTGCAGTCTGGCCTTCAAGGACATTTTGAATTTGCTACCACGACCAACCTCCGAGGTCAGCCGTTAAAACTGCGCACTCAGCATGCAAGGTTGGATGTACGGAAGTTCTCCTTCTCTGTTCGAGTGGTCAAACCAAGGAATGCCCTTCCCGCAGATGTTTTGATGTCACCATCCATGAAAAGTTTTAAAAAGAATCAAGATATATTTATGTTCCAAAATGACCAAGAGCGATGAGAAGTAGAGCTCACCCCCTGTAACTCGTTCTCTTTTTTGTCCTACAATTATGGGCGCGTTTGACTTATTTCAGCTCAGAACATTTATCTGTAAACCACACATTTTTTTACGTTGCAAATAGGATACTCAAAGGCTTACGCCTATTTCCCTGAATAAACTGAACTGGACTGAACTGAATGGAAGTGCCGATGGAGAGGATCAGCATTAACTGTTTGGCGGAAGGTGCCTTTCAAAAGCGACCGAACGAAAAGAACTTGGGATCAACATTTTGTCGACTTTTAAGCCTACCACTCAATGCGTTAAAGCGGCCAACAGGGCAATAAGTGGCCTCTTTCCAGTTAAGCAAACTTTCATAGATATAGACAAACAGTTATTTGGAAAAGTATACTGAGCAAAAGAAACCGAAGGCACGATCACTGGGACAGTAGATTTTTTTGCCGGAGCTTTCGAACTCGAACTGGAGTTCATCATCAGAGACTACTTGAACGCAGCAAATTGTGAACATTTATATCGCTCGTCTTTACGGGAGGGGGAGGGGTGGAGNTCCAGTCTCCCTTGTCTTTGTCGGTAATACTATTCTGCCTATATATCATGCGCCGCTGTGCGGCTGCTGGTTGGGCTCGAGAGAGAGTCCATAAGGCACAACGGAACGAGTGAGTTCCGTATGAACGATCGGTGAGCGCCCCCTAACATTGTATATTCCCGATCGAAAACCGACAAGGCAACGGGCTCGTGGCCCGGTGAGTAGAGGCGTTGACTTCTAAACCAACAGGTCGCGAGTTCGAGGCTCGGGTGTTCCACACTTCGGGCTTGGGTATGGCTGGCTGACGACGGCTAATAAGCCAGAAATGGCCATTCCAGTCTCCCTTGTCTTTGTCGGTAATACCATTCTGCCTATATATCATGCGCCGCTGTGCGGCTGCTGGTTGGGCTCGAGAGAGAGTCCATAAGGCACAACGGAACGAGTGAGTTCCGTATGAACGATCGGTGAGCGCCCCCTAACATTGTATATTCCCGATCGAAAACCGACAAGGCAACGGGCTCGTGGCCCGGTGAGTAGAGGCGTTGACTTCTAAACCAACAGGTCGCGAGTTCGAGGCTCGGGTGTTCCACACTTCGGGCTTGGGTATGGCTGGCTGACGACGGCTAATAAGCCAGAAATGGCCATTCCAGTCTCCCTTGTCTTTGTCGGTAATACCATTCTGCCTATATATCATGCGCCGCTGTGCGGCTGCTGGTTGGGCTCGAGAGAGAGTCCATAAGGCACAACGGAACGAGTGAGTTCCGTATGAACGATCGGTGAGCGCCCCCTAACATTGTATATTCCCGATCGAAAACCGACAAGGCAACGGGCTCGTGGCCCGGTGAGTAGAGGCGTTGACTTCTAAACCAACAGGTCGCGAGTTCGAGGCTCGGGTGTTCCACACTTCGGGCTTGGGTATGGCTGGCTGACGACGGCTAATAAGCCAGAAATGGCCATTCCAGTCTCCCTTGTCTTTGTCGGTAATACCATTCTGCCTATATATCATGCGCCGCTGTGCGGCTGCTGGTTGGGCTCGAGAGAGAGTCCATAAGGCACAACGGAACGAGTGAGTTCCGTATGAACGATCGGTGAGCGCCCCCCTAACATATATATATATATATATATATATATATATACACATATATATATCTGCTTGGACAATACCGCTTGCCTGGACAGAACAGCTCTGTTGTGCCAAACCGACTCCTTGCATACATCTACCGCTAATGCGGATGATTGTCATTCCATTTTAGCGTTATCATATATAACTCAGTGTTCTCAAGTTTCGGTCCCGCATATTCAAGGAAAAATTGTCTGTTCTTTTGTAGATAACTGATAACATTATCGTGGCTTGTTCATTCACAGTTAGATATTGCACGTGCCTTTTTCAATAGGGTTTTCAAAGGCATTGTCTATTAGCCCTAAAATATACCGACCTATACGGACTTATTCCGGCGTGCTTTTAAAAATAATTTTTGTTCGCTGTATTTTTTGTGCGACCCTAAATTTATACCGGCCGTCTTTACACAAATCTTCTCCTTCACCCACTTTTGTTTAGTGAACGATGTTAGTAATCCACCTGCTGCTCTGCGACCGCGAATGTAATTGAGATTTGCTTTGTTTACTGATCCAATAACAATGCTTAAATTCCAAGTTTGCAGTATGGGTTTAAATGCTTAGGTTGCCGAATTTAGCATATGGATATTTGATGAAGTGTTTCCTATAGCCCCCAATCCTGTGGACTCGATCTTGGACACTCAAATCCAGAACTCTTCACCGACGATATTCATGAAGAAAGTGCGAACCCTTCAGCATCGCCCACTTCTATTCTTGGCATCCTTTAGCTTTTTCGCGAACGATGAACGAAAGAGCAAGCAATTGGCACTCTATCGAATACTATTTTCATCTTAATTTGAATTAATTCAACTATAATCTTTGGGTTGTAATACCCCGGTGACGTGCCGGTTTAGTCTCGTCTGGATTATTTTCCTTAGAGAATGATTGAATTTGATCGTTGATAGAGGTCATCGTAGAAATATTCATTTCGAAACTCCCTTGCATGGGGACCTCAAACACTCAAAACAGTATCAGAATTGATTCGTTAACAATGAAACGTTTACTCAACGGTGGTCTGGGGGAGGTTTGTATCACGGGTTGTTGACCAAAAGCTGAGGGGGCAGACAACAAGGTGGGAAACGAGAAGCTATGTAGAAGCCTTCCTCTGATTTATCTTTCCTCCGGTCGGGATGGCGGTACGCGTGCTTCTGCCGCCAGCGCGTCTGATTCGTACCCCGTCACCGTGGCTCCAAAAGAAGCAGAATGTCGCACAGGGGGACGTTAACAAAAAAATTAAAACAAACCAAATTAATAATGCCTGTCTTTTACAGGGTCCTTGACCTATCCGTCATCACCGAACCACCGTATTTCGAGGTTATCATGCACTCAATATAAGGCGCAATTGTTGACTGCTCGATAATTTCTATGCGTCGACGCTTTGTTTCAATCTAGCCCTCAGGGTAACTGATTGAGCCTTGAACCGGCTAAACACCTGTTTTTCTCACTTATTTGAATCAGCTTTATTAAAATTTCTCCTATTCTGTTGTCTAGGAGGATTTTGTCCCTTAATACTTATAATCTAAATAGAAAGCACTTTTCCTACCGCTTAATCACCACCAATTATGGTTCCTAAGAGAAGTGCCAACACATGAATGCACTGGTTTTAATGCTGTACCCACCACTATACTCGGAAAGCATACAATAGGACGATAATATCACTTATCGTTTATGATGTCTGATGACCATTTAATATCACCAGCTTGAACATTCACCTGTGCAACTCGACAATTCGTAAGAGCTTCCACTCCCTCATTTTATTTCATCGGGTACCAAAAACGATCATCTGACAGTCTGTCCTATACGTGAAGAAGGTACCTGTTTTAGTCGAAAGACAGCTGAAAAAGCGTCAAATGCGCGTGACATACCAACCGGCAACTACCTTACGCCTACAGCTTGTACACCCTAAGGTCAAGGTTGGCTGCCTCGATAGAAAAGGTGTTATCAGCAAAACCATGTAAGCCAGTTATGATGGCATCTATTATGGCCAAGCTGGGAAATCTGTCTCAACTCCTACACACGGACGTTGGTCAGCAGTGAAGAGATGAGAGCATCTATTGCAGGTGGCCATGTACACACTGGACACTGGTCGCAAACTTGTGTGGAAGAACATCTGCGCTCTTGTCGCCTGCCCAATAAGGAAAGACCGTGAATTCCTAGAGGCAATGCACCTAGATGGGGTATTAATCAATCGACATATCAATTTAAATGGTACATTAAAATTCTTTAAAGACAAGTTCAAGCTGGTTGATTGATACAGTACGGTTTCGGGCTTATTCTGCCTTCGTTCAGCCAATCATAACCCTGAACAGCAACTGGGACCAAAAACACAAACATGCGCACAGATGCACCTGGTGCAGTTGGTCCACCACTGGCGTCAACCAGATGGGTCATAGAATTTGTACGACCGAAAGAACATATAACCAAGCACTGTTTTTGTTAATACCTCTGCACTCAGTTGCCGATCAGGTTGACAAAGATATTTCACAGCTTCTGGAACCAGTTGCCGGACTTCGCTATAATCTATTCACCGCTGCCGGTTACTTGTGGTCGGACCTCACCGAGTGTCTCTTCAAACAATCTCACAGTTGACCGGCTTGGTGTTTCGACGTGGCATTAGCAAAAAGTTCAGAACTTCGCAAATTGGAACTTTCTGTTTGCTCTCAACATATAATTTCAGTATGGCTGGACACCTACGCTTATTCGGTACCCAAGCGATGGCACTGAGTCAGCGAACTTGCTTTTAGTGTAGTCAGCCGAAGATTGCGCACCTGGGAACACACGAATGTGTGGTGCCTAAACTGGTAACCCTTTTAGGTTAAGCTTGCCCTCTCTCATATCTACCTGAAAGTTTATTTCAATAACAGACAAGGAGTTTAATGCCAGGAACTAAATTATAATAGGCAAACATATTAAAGAATCTGCAAACAGAAGCTCAATCTTGTTATGCAACCATAATTGAAAGAAAAGAGCGCAGCTTGTTCACGTCTGGAAAATAAACTGACCACGAGGTGGTTTGAAGGATTATTGGATTCATCCGGGACCCCAGAATTAACTGGATTGCCTTCTGCGCCCTTCTGTTATCTGCTCAGACAGCTCGAGCTGCATATCGCTATGGTTACTTTGTCCATTAATTCTTTGCTCTCGACACATCATCAAATTCCACCACAATTACCGATAACCGGCGCGTCGCCACTGCCTGAGTTTTTGCCCAGGACAGCCCGTCATATTCTTACATGCAGTCGGGCGCTCAACAAGGATGTATTTCGTCGGAAATTTATCGATCGGTTTTTGGCAATCCTCGAGAAAACCCGGCGCGTTTCCACGATGCCGGACGCAGATCAGGAAGTCAAAAGGCCGATCATATTGCCACGTTAGCGTTATCTTACGAAGGACTACAGAATGTTGTCCCATCTGAACGAAATAACCAAGTCGATAAACTTCCGCAAAATACGCGAAAAAATGGAGCTTGCGCTACCGGACTTCTTACCAGGAAACAATGCCGCCTATCCATTTTTTGTCGAAATCCTAGAGAAGAGGTGACATGGCATCCGAGTCGATGGCACTTTTGTCAATCTTAAATACCTTTGAGCCTGTCTATATCATGCTGAAATGAATACACTTCCTATAACTCCAAGTAACTTACGCTGGGAAGATACCACAACTTATGTGGCCTGCCTTTACCATCGATTTCGTGCACCTGTATGAATTCAGCCAATTCAGCAAAGTCACTTCTTGTACCCGTTTGTGTGATGTTCCGTCTTGCCCAAACTGGGTCGTGGAATGAGGGATATATCTGGGTTTCAAACGCTTACAATTACGAAATATTCATGTGATTATTCCCGTAGACTACTATCCTGCGGTTTATTAACGCTGTCTCACAAGTGTACATTATGATCCGTACTTCAAAACGTTCTAAACACTAAGGACTTGTTTTTGGGAATTTAAATTTTTATGTTTATTTTTCATAGAAGATAACATTAAGCCGCTCGTAAATCTATAATTCAAAAAACAAGTTTCTGTTTCAACATACACATATCCTAGTAGCAGACCCACATCGACATAGTCAATGTTTTACATGCTTGTACATGGTACAGCTGTGATCTTGCCTGATATGACCGACTTCGATGAACCCGCGGCTCCTACCTCCCCACGCGTGATCTGCACAGCGGATCTGGACAGCCTGACCAATCCTCTCCTTTATCGACAGAGGCCGGATACTGGAGGTCGAAGAACCACGTACATGTGCTGGCAAACTCTGTCGGGCCATGCTTTCAGTTGACTTGTTCTATGCCACCAGACGGGCAACGGCGCCGGGTCGGGGGCAGCAACACTGATGTCCATCCAGGTTAAGATCTTTGCAACATTGTCCGTGACCCGTTGCGACTTTAGGTAGTCTATCTGAGCTTTCAGAGAAACCCAGCATTGCGTCATTTAAGTATTGGCGGGAAAGTTGATATAAAAGTAGACACATTCTCGACCATCTACTTTGTCTTTGATCACTGTTCCGTGATACTAAAATTGAATCAATCTCAGCACTTTGACCATGCGGCGTGATCAACCACCGGGAGTTCTGGTGAATGGAGTCAAATGCAATGGCATACATCACGGAAGGCATAACATCAGACTACTTGTAACAATGTCTATAAGAGGATCCGTCTAAGCGAACAGTTGTGTTCCGCATAACAGCCTCATAACCAAAAGCCACATCAATTCTTGTCAAAAACATCGCGGCACTGGTCAAAGGGATTCATTAGTACAACAATGATTAATTGCTACTACAGGAATGTGGCAAAGACTGTTTTATGTCATTTTTGCCCATCGATCTGCCGGTTTAACGGCATCAATCCCAACTTCGGACGTTCTACCACTGAGCCAGGGACTCATGTCCTATCGATTATGATCAGGATATTAACTAACGTAGAGTGACGCTCACTGATCATGTTAGGAGACGTGCATGTCAATGGACAGAACAATGAGTCCGTGGTCCAGTGGTAGTGCTGGATTTGCTAACAGTCGATGGCCAAAGAACTCTGTTTGTAACCTCAAATCCCGCGGACTTGGGGTTGTGCAAGGCTGGTTGACGGCAGCTAATAGGCCAGAAATGGCTATACCAGTCCCCCTAGTCTCTGTCGGTACCCCCATCTCCGAATAGCGGTTGGTTTCGATCCTGATTCGATATACTTTGATTATTTTACACGTAACCTTTCAGGATCTGAAATGCCCCAAGAGGAGTGGCTTGAATTGGAGAGCGACCCGGGTCTCTTCACACTGCTTTTGGAGGACTTTGGAGTAAAGGGTGTTCAAGTGGAAGAAATCTACGACCTGTCTAAGCCAATAGACGATGTGGTTTATGGGTTCATCTTCCTCTTTCGTTGGCAACAAAACGCGGACAAAAAGGTTAGATAGTTTGAACAATCGTTCCATTTCGTCCTACGTTTTTACTGCATTAGTTTTTTGCGTAAACTTTTATGCCCTTGCGATAATATTGGAAACTTGTAGATAATACCTTCTTTATAAATAACAGTGCTCGCATAATGTGTCCCACGCCCTTTTAGTGTAAAACTATGATTATTGTGGATCTGCCAGATCGAGCTAGTGCGCATTCAGGCTGTTTCAGAAACGTATTCAACTTCTGAATCATCATTTTCCAGCCACTAGAATTCTATAGTTCGCACAGTAATCTTTACGGAAGAATTACATTTTTTCCGCAACGACTGTGATTAACTAGAGGTTGCGTAACCATAGAAGAACGATGAGCAAGGCTGTTCTCTTTAATTGAAGATACTTCGTACGTGAGACTGTGAGAGTTGGCTTGAAGGAACTTCAATTAAAAACTGACCTACTACTCCCACTGTCCCACTTGAACTTCATTTTTCTATGCAAATGGGAACTCGACAGTAAGAGTCAATGTTTTGTTATTTCCAGTTCTCACCATAGGCTGTTAAGTTTTCTGCTGGTTTGTGAACAGGCAGTTATCCGGTGGCCACTCGGCTTGTTCTGGGTAGTTTGTTCTGGCACTTTAAAATGTAATAACTCGACCTCGGGACACTAGGTATGGCTTTAGGCTCTTATTGTAAGCAATGCTTGTGACTGTCACGGAGCGCTAAAAGTTATGGCTTGTGTGAAGTGACCGAATGGTGGACTGATAGTCTGACTGCGATGATTCCTTCCTAAAGTGGCCTTTATGGCACACCCACTTACTTTTGATCCGTGCCGTCCCCCTCTTATTATGGAAAGTCCTGGTCTCTTGTGCGTGGACCATGGGGTGTGGTGACATGCCTAGACGCGGTTTCATGCCGTGCTAGCCATCTGCGCCCTCTCCCATCCCCGGTCTTGATTCTCAACGTCGAGCCCTAGTTGTTGAGGAGGAGAGAGTATGGTGGCTGCAACGTGAGCCTATTATCGCCTACTATCGTCTACTATCGAGCCGGAATTGAAGGTCTAAATATCGCTTATTATGATCAGTGTTAGCCATAGCGTAATACAGTTTTGT